TTTAGTAAAGAAAAAAAAAAAAGAAAATAATTTTAAAAACAATTAAAATAAATATTCATATAAATACAAAATTTAGCGATTTATACAAATATTAAAAATTAAAACAAAAATCTCACTAAAAATATTTTGTTTTTTAAATCTTAGCAATTGATTGCAAAAGAAAATATAAAAATTAAATAATATCTTTGGATTAGTTGTTACTGAAACTCGTTAGAGTTCTCTGCTCTGGTTCGTTGCCAACTGGTGGCTACTGTGGTGCCAGCAGCAGCGTTGCTGCGGTGCTGTGGCTTGCAGTTGGCGGGCCCCTTCACCTGGCTGAGCTGGCAACATGACAAATGAGTCACCCGTCGCGAGCTTCTGTGGGCATGTTGGAGATTAGAGTTAACCGTGCCAAGCAGCCGTCAACTGCGCTCGTTGTTTCCGCCAGCTGACTGAAGTCGGCAGTAAGAAGCCAACAGCGTGGCGAGGAAATGATCCATCAACCGTGTGAGTTATGCGCAATTCGGCAACAAGAACTGGCCCCCATGTGGCGAGGGGGGGGGTCAGACGGGGCATGGGATGAGCTGCTGCTGCTACTGCAGATGCTATTGCCAATGAGACGGTCGTAAAGTGCTGTAAAGTAGTTGACCCTGGTCAAGAATCGGACGCTCAAAGTGGTTTAATAAACTGCAATTACCTCCCGCTCGCTGCTCTCACTCTATGTGCGCAGCTGGTTTAAGACCGCACCACAACAGCCCCCACCTGCAAAGCGGTGCGATTTATTTTGTGGATTCTTGACTTGATGAGTCGTTCAGCCAGTCAGCCGGTCAGCCAGTCAGCCGGTCAGCTGGACGGCCGCTCCCCTACATATGATGGACGGTCGCTGGGGCTATGCAAATTTAGATAAATAGCGTATGCTGCGTGTGTTTTCAGATCATTCAATTGCAGCACTTCAAAACTCACACCCACAACGCAGACAGCCAGGATATAGCTAAAAGCTACCTAAAGATCAGGCAAAATGAAACTGTTCATAGTACTCAGCGCTTTGATTGCCTGCAGCTCGGCTGGACTCATTCGCAGCAGCGGCTGGTCAGGTGGCCGAAGCGGCTGGAGCTCGAATCCTTGGGCCAGCGGCGGCATCAGCACAGGTGGCTGGAGCTCGAATCCTTGGAGCAGCGGCATCGTTAGCAGCGGCGGCTGGAGCTCGAATCCTTGGGGCAGCGGCGGCGGCTGGAACAGCGGCTGGTCCTCCCAGCCGAAGATCATCAAGGTCATCAAAGTTGGCGGCGGCGGCGGCGGCAGTGGCTGGGGCAACGGCGGTGGCTGGAGCAATGGTGGTGGCTGGAGCAATGGTGGTGGCTGGTCGAGTCCGAGCATCGTCAGCAGCGGCTGGTCCAGCGGCAACAGCGGATGGGGCAGCAGCGGCTGGTAGTGAGGATCGCAGCCAAAGGCTTTGCCAAAGGCTCCACCGCGCGCTGACTCGAATTGATTACTGATTTTTGCTTTCATATTACGTATATGCATAAGGGAGTTTATAATTTTTTTCAACTTTTTTTTTTATACCAACAAACCTATTTTTTTTTTTTTTTGTAAACAAATATAAACTTTAAATTGTAAATTGTAAAATAAGCAAGAAATTGCCAGATTTTTATTCGAATGCTGGCAAATGATTGACGAGCGACTGCACCAGACACGTTTCGGCTTGCCATATTTCATTTCCCAGTCGAGAGCAATTAAAAAAAAAAAAATAGTATTGAGCACAGATATTAACATAGCTGCAACATCTTCAAGTTCAGAAACCCGCCGCCCGCTGCCCACGTCTGCCTGGGAACCAGATCGAGAATTGCCAGTGTGGGGCCCAGCAGTGAGAGGCTGTGTGCTGTGTGCTCGCTGATCTCGAAATTCACATAAATGCATTTTTGAATTATGGTCCATAACAATTAAAATGCTAACCCAACGTCGTAATTATTTCTATTACTTTGCGCATTCTCAGTGCTCGTGGAGCATTCAGTGCTCATCACTCATTGAGTTGCACACTGACACGAAATGCAGCAGCTGTCTGATTTATCAATTGAAAATATATTTAGAAATAGAGATTTTCTAGACTAACAGTCTCTCTAAGCAATAGCTATCTTTGTCTCTCTCTCTCTCTCTCTCTCTCTCTCTCTCTCTCTCTCTCTGTCTCTGTCTCTCTCTCTTTCTCTCTCACACACGGAGCAACAGGAAACCATAAACATGACAACATCTCTCGCATAACAGCTCTGTAAAAACTCAGCTGTACACTAATACTACTGCAACAGCAGGAGGCATTCTTGACAAAGTGGAACAGAATTAGGAAACTTGGAAATGCTCATTTCATAATACTCCAGAATATCCAATATTCAATATATACAGAGCTGTCCGTATTCGACGGACCCATTTGGCAACCCTATATCGTGTAACAGGGACGGGAATACTACGCCGTACAGACACAAGGCGGCCATTTGGGATACAGTTCAGTGTCGATCAATTTTACCCTGCTGAATCAAAAATCGCGATAAATGGAAAAAGGTCTATTTCCTTGAAAAAAAAATCATTCTCGATAATTCTCGATAATTTGAGTTTCTGTGTAAATCGAAAAATAAATAATAAATTTGTTACATATATAATAATGGGTACCGCCAAACAAAAATATTGTGTTTTTCTTTGATAAAGAAAAAAAAAAAAAACATGAGTCCATCCAACATTAAAGGGCTGCCAGAAAACTCTGATTTCCAAGATTCCTAATTCCGTTCCCTTTTGTCATGAATTCTTCATATGACCACTGATAAAAACTGACTAAAAATATGACTTTTAGTTCACTGTGCTGCATATGCGAAACATATTTGCTGCTCCGGTGGTTGAGGTCGGCTTGTGGACTTGGCTGTGAGGTTATTTGTGGCTTTGAGCCATGTTTGGCTGCCGCACGCGTTGAATGCGTTGAATGCAACACAGTCGGTGGACAAGTAGCGGCAATATATTAGTTGAGTAATTCTCTTGAGCAGGCAGCTCATTTGTTAGGCCTTTGCGTCTGCATGTGTGTGTGTATGAGTGTGTGTGTGTGAGTGCTTGCACAGCAATTGACATTGAACTCGTCGCATGCGAATGTGGTTGAGTCGTGCACCACACACACACACACGCACACACACACACACACACACACACACACACACACACACACACACATTTGTCTAGCACTCGCCTCGCATGCGAATACCGACAAATCCAAGTAGAAAATACAGAAAAACAGCAAAAACTAAAATCAAATTAATTATGCAGAAATATCTGAAAAATATGAAAAATTACAGAATTTAAATTGTAAATTGTAAAACAAATTGTGTGGCTGCACAAACGCTTGTAATTAATGACATCGCTATGGCTCAGCAGTTTAGAAGTGGTTGCCCGTGCGGCTCTGTGCGGCGCATGCTCCGAGTACTCCCAGCATAAACGTTGCGTATGCGCCGCGTGTGCCGCGCTCTTGACAGCGAGTGCAGTGCGCGGGCTTCGACAGCCACTTGAGTGTGCAGTTCTCAGCCTTCCGAGTAGCCTTTGGGTGCGTCGCTCCCCCACACACTCACACACTCACACTCCCACACACACGCACACACTCACAGCCAGACAGATCGCATCTCACATTGCTTTAGTTTTATGCCCAATCAGTGTTTGGGAGCAGCATGACTCAGCGGGAGTTTGATTTATTCCGTGCACCTTTGACGGCTATAAAAGCGCAGCGCTGGGCCCGATAATGGCATCAGTGAAGCTAAGGTTCTAACAGCGCCAACAGCAACAAAACAGTTCCAAAACAGTTCATCTATCGAAGGATTCTGCAGCTCAACATGCGCTACGCTCTGCTCGTCGTATTCCTGTGCGCTCTCATGTTCGCCATCGCCTCGGCTGGTTTGCTGGGTGGCGGCGGCGGCGGTGGGGGCTACGGTGGTGGCGGTGGACACGGCGGTGGTGGCGGCGGCGGTAAAGGCGGCTGGCAGAAGAATGGTGGAGGCGGCGGCGGTGGCTGGCAAAAGAGCGGAGGAGGCGGCGGCGGTCAGGGTGGATACGGCGGTGGTGGCGGCGGCAAGTCCCTGGCCGGCAATCGGGGCAGCTCGGTGTCCTGGCAAGGTGGTAACGGAGGAGGTGGCAAACACGGCGGAGGCGGCGGTGGTGGCGGCTATGGAGGCGGTGGCAAGCACGGCGGTGGCGGTGGAGGTGGTGGCAAGCACGGCGGTGGTGGCTGGTAAACCACACTCCAGAGCCACAGCAACGAGAACTCCAAGACGAAACGAAATGTAAATACTCCGGCTGCTCCCTCGGCTGACATGTGTTCTACGGCGTCTAGACATAGAGCTAGAGGCAATTCCCACAAGTGCTATGACTAACGTTTTTTTTTTTTGCTACCTACCTAGTTGTACCCAAAGTTTCTCAATCCTCTCCCATACTTTATGTTTATATGTACTAATAAAGAAATGTTCATTTTGCTAAAATCTATGTGTATTTAAGTGCCTATTCAATAGAAAGTGTTGCACTCAAGGAACATGATATGAGATTATTTTTGAAGATTTCCTAGCTAGGCATGGATAGAAAATATAGGACTATGGGTATCGAAAGCTTAGATGGTATAGTATATCCCTTATAGGCCAGCAAGTCTTTGTTTTGGATTTGTTGATAAACTGAACTAGATTGATCAGCATCAGCTTATAATGAATCCAATATGCAAAATACTCCAAAGCAGCTAAAAGTAGATGAAAAAAAAAAAAAACTGTTGAACAGCTGGAATTAGTTAATTTCCTTTCTTAGATGATGATGATATGTTCTAAAGGCAAGAAAATTTTTATTTTCGCTCATTCTAACATATGAAACCTACTACAATAGCTGAATATTATCATAAAGCATTCTCGTTCTGTAGAAGTTATCCATAAGCAATTGGAATTCATATATGGATTATCCTAATATGAGCTGATCATCTGAAGGCTGCCAAAATGTTTAGCTGCCTCCTACTTTCATATTACTTCAAATCATAAATAGAGCTCATATTAAGTCTTGACTAGCCCACTTAGCTTATAGCCCCTTGTTGCCCAAGGTAGTAAGTAGACTTATTGGACAACTGTTGACACTTTTTCAGTTGAGGGTACACACGAGTCTATATTTTAAATTTCAAGACTCAAGTTTCAGCAGTTTCAAAATGGTTTGAAATGGTTTGAATAGATGCAATATATGCATTTCCCTTCCCTCGATTGAGGAAAGGATGTAGCCGATATGAATATAAAATGCATGAAAACTCTTTATGTGGAAATAGCTCACATGTGGGGTATACACGACTTGAACTTTATTTGCATAAATAAATTTGAGTTTGATTTTCCTTGAACTCGCTCTCTCTCCCTCTTTCTCTCTCTTTCGCTTTCTCTATCTTATTTCTGTCTCTCTCTCTTTCTCTCTCTCTCTCTTTCTCTCTCCTTCTCTCTCCCTCTATTTTTCTCTCTTACTTCTCCAACTCTTAACTTCCAATTGATTATTTGATGTTGCCTTCCGTTGGCTTCTCCCGTAAATGTTCACATATTTTAGATTATCATATATATTTATTGAGATATAAAAAATAAAAAAAAAAATTGCTAGATAAAGCAGTAGAGATTGTTTGTTTTTTTTATGTACAGTTGTAGATTCTTTTTAGTGTCGCCTCAGTGATTTGTTATGGATGGACTTCTACCAGCTCCAGCCGCCGCTTGAACCGCCGGAGGACCAGCCACTGCCACCGCCACCGCCGCTCTTCCAGCCACCACCTCCTCCGCCGCTTTTCCAGCCACCGCCGCCGCCTCCACCAGACTTCCAGCCGCCACCACCACCGCCGCCAGACTTCCAGCCGCTGCTGAGACCAGACAGCGCTTGAGATTTCCAGCCAGAGAGGCTAGACAAGGCGCTAGACCAACCAGCGCCCAATCCGCCGCCGCCACCGCCGCCGGAGCTCAGTTTCCAGCCACCACCGCCGCCGCCTCCACCGCTTTTCCAGCCACCGCCGCCTCCGCCAGAGGACCAACCGCTGCTACCGCCACCGCCGCTGGACGGCCAGGCACTGATGCTTATCTTGCTGGGCCAGCCAGAGGAGCCGCCACCGGATGACCAGCCAGAGGAGCCACCGCCGCCGCCACCACTAGGCCAGCCACCGCCTCCACCACCACCCGATGACCAGCCAGAGGAGCCACCGCCGCTCTTCCAGCCACCGCCGCCGCCACCCGATGACCAGCCGCTGCCACCGCCGCCTCCACTGCTCCAGCCATGTGGCTTAGCAAAGGCGCAGACGCTCAGCGCGGCCAAGAGGCCGACAAGAACCAAGCGACGTATTGACTGCATCTATGCGAGAGATGTTGTTGTTGCTGTCTGTTGTTGTTGCTGCTGTCCGATGGTGCTGTTGCTGTTGCTGCTGATGTTGCTGCTGTGCACTAACTAATTTACAACTGGGCGCACTCACGGCTATTTATACAGCCAGCCGAGTGCAGCGCATCTAAGATTCTAACTGCCAGCAGCAGTGCAGATGCTGTTGCTGTTGTTGCCGTCGCCTCGTCAACGCCGCTGCAGCTGTTGCTGTTGTTGTTGTTGTCGACTGCGACGTGGCTGCAGTGTAATCAGCTGTAATTGCCAAATCTGGCGCTCGCTCCGTTCTTGGAGCTCTGTGCAGTCGGCCCTCATTATGCCAACTTTCAATTTCGTACACTTTGCGGCCATCTATTGTTGTTGGCAGCGCCCCGCCCCAAACCTTCCACCTGACGCAGCCCAGACTCTAGATTCTGGCCAGGCCAGCGCTGACAAATAGCCAGCCAGCATCGATTTATTGGCGCGCCATTTTTATGTAACAACTCTTTGGGGGCAAATCGATTGACAGACGGCCCATTCTTTGTGGCTGCCATTAACCGAGCACAGCTGAGCTCTCTAGCTCTCATAATCAATGAGCCAGCCGCTGGCTGCACACGTGCTGCTGCTGCTGCTGCTACTGTTCTCTGCTGCTGCTGTTGCCACACAGTTTGCAACAGTTTCGTGTCGGACTTTAAAATCGGGTCAACGGCACAGCGATCAATCACTCAGGCCATCAATATTAAGTGCTATGAATTATACAATGAATTTGCCAGGGCAAAGATAATGAAATTTGAATATTTTCATAGTCAGCTTTAAGATTTCTGTATTTTGAAGTTGAGTGACAGGTTAGCTCCATTTAATTGCAAAA